TGCCCAGCTATTTTTAGAGATGAGGTCTCGCTCTTGCTCAGGCTGGTTTCAAACCTGTGAGCTCAGGGCAGTCGAAGTAAGCCACTGCACCCGGTGCACAGGGCCAGTGCTCTAACTATTGAGGAATGGGTGCCCAGCCTTTTGTATGGTTTTTCCATGTGGCTGAGGCTGGAGGATGGATGGTGGAGTGGAGCTTATTGTGACTCAGCAGGCTTATGTGGTAAAAGGATAAAGCCATGTGGGGCTGGCAGATGGGGGGAGGGCAACAAGGAGCTCTCAGACAGGGCTTTGACGGGCTTTAGGAATATGTGACCTCTGCATGGAGTGGTTAAGGCTTTTTAAGTTGGAGAGGCCATGGAGCTTCAAGCTAATTTTGTCTCCTCCTTGGCCCATAATGGCAGCACAGAGAGAAAGACCAGAGAGGGGGATAGGTCGCAAGGGAAGGGGCAGTGTCCTGGGACTACCTGCTGTCTAGCCAGGAGGAGGAGGGGTGGCGCACATATGTGGGTGATAATATGTGTCTGCATAGATAGACAAGTTCCAGAGCAAGAAGAGAGGTTGGAAGCTAGGGCCTAGGGGTCAAAAAGTAGAGCAGCAAGGTAAAAAGGCAGAGAGTCACCCTCATTAGTGACAACCACTACCATTGGTCATCTAACCAGAATCAGGCATCATCCTACAGATGAAGGTCTTACCAGGCAGTGAGGGGTTGTTCTCAACTATGCCCATGCAGGGCCTCTCCCACCTCCTGCAAGTGTAGCATGAGAAGGCCTGGGTGGGCCCCCAGCCTGCCCTTGGGCTCCCCTCTTTACCACCCACCTTGTTGCCCCTGGCTGCGTGGTTCTGCTGCCTCTGTATCCAACCTCCAGGCAGACCTGTCTGGAATGAAAGCTTGATCACACTTCTTCACCCCAGCAGTCTGGCGGCCCCTTCACCAGTGGGGTGGGGTTGGGCCCCTCTGTGGAACAAAGGCCTCTGTGGTTCAGCTGCCCACCTGCCTGGTTTAGAAATACTCCTACAAAGTAGTGGATTGTAGCCACCCAAAAACAAGAACACAGCAAGGCTTGGGTTTCCAAGCAGAGTGTGTCTTATAAGCTGGTCCTGTACCTGGAGCACCCACCTCATCCTACCTTCCCTTCAAGCCCTTCGAGTCACTTGCAATCACCCCCTCTGTGTTGCGCCTCTGCCTTTACAAGTGTCTACAAATCAGCTTTCTGACTGTGCTGCCAGGTATTTTATTTGCATATCTGCTGTATCTAGCTCAGTGCCCGGACCTGGTATAGCATTAGGAGAAAGTTCCAGAAAGACAGGGCTACTGGACAGATCAGCCAGTGGCTCCCTTTTGTCAAGGATCAAGGTGCCGCATGGGCTGGGGGTGGGGGGTGGGGTTGAGCATTCACACCTCCAGGGTTGTTTGTCTCTGAGGCATCCTGCAGGGATTCTTAGAGGTGTTAGGCATTTCCCTGGCCTCTCCTTGGTGCGTGGTGGGAGGACTGGGCCCTCATTAGCAAATCAGACTTGACCTGGACCTGAGAGGAAGGTTCTTGTAACCAGAGGAGGTTCTTGTAACCGTCCTCACCTGCGGGTAAATGCTTTTGGCCACCCTTCCTGTCCCTGCCAGAATCCTAATCCTGCCTGCAGTCCAGTATGTTTCTCCCACCTCCCAGCTCTCTCTCCTCATCCCTGGGTCCAGGCTGGATGTACTTCCAGGATATCTCCCTGCCTCCCTCCAGCCTCTCTCCTAGCACCCTGACCTACCAGCCCAGACTCCCTTCCAGGCTCTGTCCCACCTACCTGCCTGGCACTGAGCTCTCAGCTGCCCAGATGTGACCTCCTCACCACCACCCCTGTCCTGATGTCCCCTCTGCCCCAGGAGTCCCTACCACCCATAGCATCTCCTTATCGGGCAGCCAACTTACACAACCCAGAGGTGGAAATGGAGCTTAGTCATCTCTGTTGCCCTCCCTGGCCTGATAGTCATGGTTGATGCTGAGGATTCTACCTTCCTGGGACCAATGATCTATTTCCTTCCCTTTTTTTTTTTTTTTTTTTTTTGAGACAGAGCCTCAAGCTGTCTCCCTGGGTAGAGTGCCGTGGCATTACAGCTCACAGCAACCTCCAACTCCTGGGCTCAAGCGAGTCTCCTGCCTCCGCCTCCCAAGTAGCTGGGACCACAGGTGCCCGCCACAACGCCCGGCTATTTTTTGGTTGCAGCCGTCATTGTTTTGGCGGGTCCAGGCTGGGGATTCGAACCCACCACCTTAGGTGTACGTGGCTGGCGCCTTAGGCGGTTGAGCTATAGGCGCCGAGCCTATTTCCTTCCCTTTTATGCCCATTTAGTAAAGTTGAGGGCTCTGGAAAGAATGAGAATGTGTTGGGCTCCATCAGGAGAGCCTGCCTGAAAGAGTGTGTGTCTCCCTATCTAGTAGAAATCCTTCCTGTCAGCTCCTGTCCTCAGGCATCGGGGGTTCCCCACACACTGGCTGAAGCCTCGCCTTTTTCCTCTGTGTTCAGGGCCCCCTCACCCAGACTAGGAGGAAGAACTGAGCAAACAGCAGCTGATGCTCAGCCCTGCTCTGTGACAGTGACTAAGGCTCAGCCAGGCAGAGCCCTTGGGCCTTCTTAGCTTGCTGCTGGGCCCAGGGGTTGTTCTGTGGCCAGGGTGGGTGTGGTGGCCAGGCCAAGGCTGGGTGAGACCCAGGCCTGTAGTGCTAACTCTTCAAATTGTAGTCCTAGTGAACGCTGACCTCCGGGGTGGGGGATGACAGTTGGCCCTTTGGTAGCATCTAGGTGTGTATGCACCCCAACCCCCACTTCATATGCTGTGGGCTTGCCTGGGACATGCTACTGCACTCTAGCCTGGGCAACAGAACAAGACTCCATCTCTGAAAAAATAAAAAGTACCTCCAAGATATAGTTTTCCTGGGCTGGGATTCTCTGTTCATTTCTTACTCCTTTAGCCATAATCCCTGAGTGACCTGATATCTGTCCTACTATCAGGCTACTCCGTTTGATAGGGTCTAGCCTCCTAGGCATGGCCTTGTCCTGGCCCCCAGAGTCCCACCAGAACTCTGTCCACAGCTACCAGGGGGGTTTCTAAATGCAGATTCTGGTCAGGTCACTTTCTTCTCAGACCCTTTGCCCTGCACATGTGGGGAAGCCCCTCCTCACTGCCCACCTGAGGCCCCTAACTTGGCACTTGCCCTCTCCCACCTCTATGCCTCTGGGGGTACACCATGCCAACCCCAATGCAGGCCATTGCATTTTACAGGCACTGAGACCCTGGCCCCATGTTCTCCAAAACTTCTAGAGTGCGGAATTGCCAGCCTCCTCTGGGGCCATCTTCTCTCTTCCAGTGTCCAATGTGGGAACTGGCACAGAGAGGCAGCTCCAAGGAGTTGCTCTAGGGTGAGGGGAGTTATGGGACATAGGTCTGTGCCATCACCTCCCCTTCCCCCATCACACCCAGGAGCTGGCTGGGAAGCAGGCTCAAGCCCAGGTGGGGTTAAGATATAATCACCTGGCTCGGCGCC